TCCAAGAAAATAGACAAGAGAGAGGAAGAATACAAACAAAGAGAAAAAAATCAAAGAAATAAGAATACAACAAAAATGCAAAACACCATTCATATATCATTGTCCTCCACACACTGATGCATAAAAAATATCCTGTTCCAAATATGGTAGACAGATTAGTGAATCAAAAAATAAAATAAAATAAATCTTGCTGCAAAGTCAAACTGTCTCTGTCAGTGTTCAACAGTTTCTCCACCCTCTCTCTCTATGTCTCCTGGGATCACCAAACCCAGATCAGCCCTCACAATCCCAGTCACTATTCCACCAATCTGAACTTCAGATACCTCAGGCTTGGCCACGCTGCAGTCCCAAGATTTCAATGCTGTTCCTACTTGCAGAGAGACCACCAGGGATACATTCATGCAAAGGAGCAACCCTGAGATATAGCAACAAGACAGGGCCACTCAGCAGGAAGACCTCAGGCTCCTCCAAACCTGCAGGCACCCCCCATAGTGGACCTGCAGGTCCTAGCTGGAGTCCCCAGGCAGAGGCTCTTGTGGTGGTAAACCTGCTGGCACCTGGGCCCCAGGTCCTAGCTGATGTTCCAAAATGGGTGCAGCTATATGCAACCAAACCTGGAGTCTCCCCCGAAGGAGTGCTCTAGGCCATGGTAGCAGCAGTAGTGGCAGTGGTTGTTGGCAGCAGGCAGCAGGTCAGCAGTAGTTGTGGCTGCAGAGGCTGTAGCAGTGGCTGCAGGGGCTGCAGGGGCAGCTGCAATTGCAGCTGTGGGGGCAGCCTCAACAGGCGATCTTAGGGGGTCAGCAGTGATGTCGGCTTCAGTTGCATCCAGGGCAATGGTCTCTTCTGTGGCAGCAGCACCCAGAAAGAAGACCTCCAGGCAACCTCAGGCTGGTAGCAGCGGAATCAGAAGCAGCAGCACTGGCAGTAGTAGGGATTGAACTGGGGATTTATTTATTGGGAACTGGGGATTGAACTCAGGGGCACTCGACCACTGAGCCACATCCTCAGCCCTATTTTGTATTTTATGTAGAGACAGGGTCTCACTGAGTTGCTTAGCCCCTCACTTTTGCTGAGGCTGGCTTTGAACTCACCATCCTCCTGTCTCAGCCTCCTGAGCTGCTGGGATTATAGGTGTGTGCCACTACATCTGATGAGGACTTGAACTGATACTAGTGCATGATTGCATTAGGAGTCTAGGTGACACTGGGTTTTTAAGAGGAAAAGCTTAACTTTCCTTCACCCATTGTTGGACCACTTTCTCCATACCAACACAAATCCCCTCTCATCTTTGCTTTCCCCATTTGCCCAGTTTAGACGATGTCCTCCATCTTTCCCATCATTTAGACAGTAGAAAAGACAGAGGTGTCAAACTCCTATTAGTGTTTGAGGCCATCCTCTTTGTTGCCTGCTTGCATCCTGGCTGTTTTTTCTATGTGTCTATTCACGTTCTGCTTCTCTTAAAAGTTATATTATTCAAATGTCTTTCTGTTATAGACACTTCTCTAATTTCATACCTTCTCTAGGCTACCTCATTTACTTTCATTTATTTAGTACCCAATTGACTTACAACATAAAAATTAAAACAACAACAACAACAACTAGCCAATGGACTTGGCAGTAACTCCCAAGTAACTATCCTTGGCTCCATGTCTCTTCAATTCCAGACCTTATACTCAAGTTCTGTTTATCACTGTCATTTGCCTGATTCACCGGGACTTTAAAACTTAGTATGTTCAGCACAGCATTTGTGATCTAAATCCTTTTTCTTGTGTTTCTTGTTTTTACTGAATGGGATACTACCTGCAATAGTTGCTCAAGCCACACATTCAAGAGTTATTCTGGTACCTCCCTCTCTCTTTATTTCCTCTTCCAACCAACCCATGACTAAATCCTTTTGATGATGTGAATGGAACTTCTTCAATAGCTCTTCAATCTACGCATGCTCCATTTCTACTACTAGGTCTTGAATTCAGTTATTTCTTACATGAAATACTGCCCTGGTTGCCTAACTGATGTACCTGCATTCTCACTTGCCTTCTTCTGACTGGTTGTTCACAGAGTAGCTAGAATGGTCTTTTCAGACAAAAATGATCACGATACTCCTCTTCTTAAAACTTGTCCACGGGTCTCATTGTCTTTAGGCTGAAGTCCATACTTAGCTCTATGTGACCTGAGCCAACTTCTCTAGTTTTTTCCCCACCAATTCCCATTGTTGTCTCTTTGTTGAATGTTCAAGATCCTGGGTTCCATCCCCAGCACCATAAAAATAAATAAATAAATAAATAATAAAAAAGATTATTTAAAAAAATAGAAATAGGAAAAATTCTTCTTGAAAAGGTTTTATTAAGAGAAGCATTTTGTACTTTTGATTTGGTACCTTTATAATTTTATACTATGGAAATTGAGTGTCATAATGGGAGAGACAGATAGCCAAGCTGATAAGATTGAATGAGATGTTTGCCTTGGCCTCCTGTGTCAGTGTCTAAAATTTGAACTGATTGCTTTAGGGCTCTGTGTTCAGAAACAAAGACTTCTAAATTCACACTCAATAACTAAGAACAGAGTAGGGACGAAGAGCATGAGAAGAAGATTAACATTAAACAGGGATGAGAGGTGGGAGGGAAAGGGAGAGAGAAGGGAAATTGCATGGAAATGGAAAGGAGACCCTCAGGGTTATACAAAATTACATACAAGAGGAAGTGAGGGGAAAGGGGAAAATAATACAAGGGGGAGAAATGAATGACAGTAGAGGGGGTAGAGAGAGAAGAGGGGAGGGGAGGGGAGGGGAGGGGGGATAGTAGAGGATAGGAAAGGCAGCAGAATACAACAGACACTAGTATGGCAATATGTAAATCAGTGGATGTGTAACCAATGTGATTCTGCAATCTGTATACGGGGTAAAAATGGGGGTTCATAACCCACTTGAATCAAAGTGTGAAATATGATATATCAAGAACTATGTAATGTTTTGAACAACCAACAATAAAAATTAAAAAAAAATAAATTCACACTCAAGGAGATAGGATTTGATGAGTCTCACTAGAGCTTCTTTTAAACTGTTTATCATGTTTTTATCTTTTTTTAAAAAAAATTTGGTCCCTGGGATTGAACCCAGGGGCACTTAACCACTGAGCCACATCCTCAGCCCTTTTTCTTATTTTATTTAGAGAGGGGGTTTTGCTGAGTTGCTTAAGGCAACTTGAGATTCTCCTGTCTCAAGCTGTGGGGATTACAGGCATGCAACACTGAGCCCAGCCTTGTTTTTATCTTTCAGTGTTGTTACTTATTCTTTATTGTTATCACACTTAATACAGTGGCTATGTTCAGAGATCTTTTGAAGGCATTTATAAAAGGTAACTATTGTGTTGCCTCAATGTAATATCCTTTGAAGAATAAACTCTTTGTAGTTGGATTTTATGTTCTTAGAAACATTTCTGCTAAATAAATTTAGCAGTTAAAATTATGAGCAGAACACTGTGGCACACACCTGTAATCTCAATGACTCAAGAGGCTGAGGCAGGAGGACTGTGAGTTCAGAGCCAGCCTAAGCAACTTAGCAAGGCACTTAACAACTCAACAAGACCCTGTCTCTAAATAAAGTATAAAAAAGGGCGGGGCGGGGTATGGCTCAGTGGTTAAGCACCATTGGGTTCAATCCCCTGCACCAAACAATAACAACAACAATAAAAAAACCCAAAACAAAATTATGTTGCATAGGTTGATATATTGATTATTGTAATAGTTATATATTCTGTCAGCAAATTACACCAAAATTTTTATCTTAAAACATTTGTTATCACAGTTTATGTCCACTAGGAACCTGACCCTGGGGTGGCTGTCTGCTTCTGGTTTAAGGTCTCTCCCAAGGTTGTAGTCAAGCTGCCACCCAGTTGGGCTGCAGGCGTCTCAAGCCTTAATGAGGGCTAGGCTCATCATGGTTATTGGTAGGCCTCCCAGGCCTCACATGGGTCTCCCCACAGAGCTGTTTCTGGATGTGGCCGCTGGCTTTTTCCTTGGCCAAAAGAGCTAAGCAAGAGGCTCAGTTTTTTATAACCCAATTTTGAAAATAGTATCACCTCTGCTATATTCTTTGGGTTGGAATTGTTTTTTGAGATTCAATACATAGTCAAGAGAAGGGATTATACAAGTGTATAAACATCAGAAGAGGAAAATTGTGGGTTGCTGCAGAGAAACTTATGTGTCTACTTGCAAGCATGCACACACACACATTGTTGTGGACTGAATAGTGCCCCCAAATTTACATGTGGAATTTCTAACCCCTAGTACCTCAGAATATAATTGTATTTGGAGAGAAAAAAAATTTTTTAAGTATATATATTTTATTTATTTATTTTATGTGGTGCTGAGGATCAAACCAAGTGCCTCACAAATGCAAGGCAAGCACTCTACCACTGAGCTATAACCCCAGCCCTGAAGATAAAATTTTTAAAGAGATGATTAAGTTAAAATGAAGTGGCTAGAGTGGGCCCTAATCTGACTAGTGTTGTGAGAAGAGGAAATTTGGACAACAGAGAGAGGTCACCAGGGATGCTTGAGCATAGAAAAAGACTATGTGAGGATACATCAAGAAGGTGGTTATTGTCTCTCATAGTGTCCCATGCCAGAGCAAACTGTAGCCCTGAACCATTGCCTGGCCTCTGCCTTAGGCTGCTGGCAATGAAGAGGGTTGCACAGTGCAAAAAAGAACAGAAAAGAAGACAAAAAGAAGAAGAAGAAGAAGGTGGTTATCTGCAAGCCAAGAAGAGAGGCCTCATAAGAAACCAAACCTGACACCTTGATCTTGGGCTTTTGGCCTCCAGAACTGTGAGAAGATGAATTTCATTTGGTAAAACCTTATCTAGTCTATGGCATTTTGTTATGTCAACTTTAGCAAATTGATATGCATATATTTTTATAATATTTTAAAAGAAAATGTTTTTCATAATATTTAAATTTTACAGTAATCAGAATGTATCTTCTTTTCCCCCTTTAAATCACAGGAACAGTGTTCCTTTAGTTGGGACTGGGGGCCTTCTTTTCCTACCCAAGGAATCTGGAAAGGTGTTAGAATTGAAGCCTATAATATTTGTCATCTGTATGACTTCACATTTGTCCCAATGTATGGTAAGTTAAGAATTATAATTTCTTGTTTTTGTGTCTTCTCCTCTGTGTTATAAATATTGAGTTTGTAATTTAAATACATATTTTTTCAGAGACTTAATTTTTAAAAACACGTTGTGGCACTGCCAATTTATAAACATAAGAAGTAGATACAAACTGATTTGTCAGAAAAATTGACAATATAAAGCACATAGGTTGGTAGATACCTTTTAGCATATTTTGCAAAGAAAGGAAGAAAAAAATGAAGAACATCTCTAATTCCTCCTGAGCTATGTCTTCTTTGTTGGAAGGATTGGGTGTGCTGGCTTGTACTCCTTTTTGTTGTCCCTGAGGTCACTTTCAGTGGTTTGCTCTAGTCACTAGACCAGTTTTTTGTCACTGTACATTATCTCCATAACTCAGAGAGCACCTCTGAGGCCCCGACCTGTAAGCCTTGTTAAGAGTTGAAAATGACTGGAAGGTAGAGAAGACACAAAGAACATTTTGCAAAGTGAAGAAACTTCTTTTAGTTGAAAGAACTATTCCCTGTCAAGGAATATTGAAATAAAACCCAGAAGTCTCACAGAAGTCAGTGAATCAGTTAAAATTGGATCAAATATTTGTTGAGTTCTTTTCTGAACACTGTGTTTGTTTGGCATAGAAAAGAAATCGAGTACATCCAGTCATTCCTCAGGGTGCTGCACACTGGTTGGGGGAGAGGGGTGATATAAAAGATTACCAATCCATGGGCTGGGGTTGTGCTCAGTGGTAGAGCACTTGCCTAGCATGTGTGAGGCATGATGGGGTTCAAGTCTTAGCACCACATATAAATTAAAAAAAAATAATAATAAAGTTCCATTAACAACTATATATATATATATATATATATGTGTATACACACACACGCACATATATATATATATACACACACACATATATATATAAAGAGGGATGTTTTACTTTTAAAACTTGACTTGAAATTTTTGTGAATTAATTTACTTTGTTTGTGTGTATAATGTGTATATGTGTATATATTTCTCTCTAATCTCATTCCTGATAATAACGGTTTCTAAACTTTCGTACTTTTCAATATCTTGTGGCCATTTGTTTGGTTTTTTTTCCCCTAACCTCAGCTTCCTAAATGATTTTTACAAAGTTCTTTATTTTTTTGCTTTTTTGCCATGCTGGGTAGGAATTGAATACAGGGCCTTGCAAATGCTAGGTAAATGCTCTATCACTGACCCATACCTCCAAACCCAATGTTCACATATTCTTAATGTTCAAGATGCTAAACAATAAAACAATTATATTTGAAAATAATGCTGAGATCACAGTAAAGCAGGAGCCACTGATGTTTTTAGGGCTACTAAGATTTATCTGGGTTTTAAGATACCGGTGCACTGGTATAACTTTCTTCAAAACCCGATTAGCTGAGATTTATTTAAATGATTCATCCTTAGCCCTGAAATATTCTCATCAGGTTTTAAATAGCAGTAACTCTTGTAGGAAAAACCCTATTTTCAGTATTTTTAAAAGTGAAAGATTCACACTGGTATTGAAAAGGGAGGCCCAGATGCTTTGACCAGGTGTGACTCAGCAAACCTCTATCGGTCTTTTTCCATGGGGTTTGGGGCGGGTGTTGCAGGAAAACCTACTGCGTGTGCTGAGGGAGGGGAAGGGGAAGTCTGGGCTGGACTTGGGTTACTGAGGTATGTGCGGAAGTAGGGGGGAATGTAACAGGGAAGGTAGATGCCTCAATTCTAAAGATTAGTACATTTATGAGAAAATGATCTGTGCCAAAATGTAGGCCTTTGGGTTTGATGGTGTTTTTTTTTTTTTCCTGTGTGTGTGTGTTTGTGTGTGTGTGTAAGAGAGACAGACAGATATTCATTATCCTTGCGAATTGTTTCAGTTGGGCCATACATTTATTAGGGAGTGATGATTGCCTAATTTTGTGACCTTTTTATACTGTCATATAGACATAAAATAAAATATATAATTTGTTTTGTTGAAATACTCTGCCATTTAATCTTTTGTTCAGTTAGGAAAGCATGGAGATGTTTTTTCAACCTGTGAATTCCCTTGCTTTTGTAATTCTTTCTGAGTTGGGGTGGCTGTGAATCTCTGACCCATACTTGGGACACTTCTACTTTGCCTGCCCTACTTTGTACAGCTGCCTCAGGACTCCTTCATTGTGGATGACCCAGCCTTTGAATTGCAGGAGTGAACTCCAGCACTCAGCTGGACCTCGCCCTGCCCAATAGAGGTCTAGTTCAAGGGCATTGCTACCTTTTGCTTATAGCTTAACACAGAAAATATAATATTAAAATATAGCAAAGATTTGTTGGTTTTGTTTAGTACCTTACTTGGTAAGCATTCGTTCATTTTTTTTCATGCATTCCTTTGGAATCACTTTTTAAATTCATCTCTGAATTACTTTTTTCCTAAAATAACACTCTTCTCCTTTGAAATTACTGTATGGGTAGATAGTCAGGTTGCTTGAATAGTCTTTCCTCTGATTTATTAGTTGCCTTCTTGCTTAGGTACATTTTCTTCCCTGGAACATACTCCTGTTCTATTCCTTGTTTTGAAGGGGATTTTGCTTTGGCTCTTTTTGCCTTGATTTTATTTTCAGGGATTTTGTCCTGCTAAGTAGGCAGGGAGATCTTGCTGTTTGGTGAAGGGAGAGAAAACAGCTGCTGTAGCTAACCATGAGCCTGCCTTTTGGCCAATTCAACTGATAACTCTTTAAAAAGCAGCTGCTTCTATCTGCCCTCTAATTCTAGCAGGAGTCCAGGAAAATAGCTTATGTTTGAATTTACACGTTCTGCAACTTGGCCAATTCAGTATGGTGTCATTACTATTTCTTTAAATGCACAGGACTACTTTTTCCCTGTAGCTTTTCATTTCCTATGAAAGATGCAGGAAGAAGGAGCAGGCAAAGGGGGGGAGCTGCAGGAGCCCAGCAGGGCGAAGCTAATCAAGGCAGCTGTCTTTGAATAGCTTTTTCCTCCAATGAGATGAAGCATCTTTTTCGTCTTACATAAGCAGACGTTTGCAGATTTTTCCTATGCCGACCTGAACATTCCCTGCCTCTGAACTTCCATTTCCCTGCTAGTCCTTAACCCCTCAGATGCCATCTGGTGTTCTTAACTGTGACCTTTGGATGTATTTTGTTTCTCTAAGTACATTTTCAGAGTTAGAGACAGCAGTTTTGCCTTTTTGGATTAGTTTGTAATATATAGTGTCTGTCAAGCTTTACAGATAGTAACTATTCAAGAAATCTCTTTGACTGGTTTGACAGAAATGCTCACATAACTGTTTTTGTGCCCTGGTCAGTAGTTTAGGCTGCAAGGATGGTATTTTGAGGAGTGGAGGAGCTGAGGCACCACATAATTATATGTTCAGTGGAGGGTCAGACACACTCTGTGTTCCTAGACTCTAGTCTTCCTTACTTTTTTACAAAGATGCTCATTAAGAAGGTAATGTTTTATTGTTTTAATCCCCCCAAATGCTTTGTTTCACTTGGAATATATTTATTTGCTTTTTGGAGTTGGAGTCTGAAGGGCTGATTCCCTTTGCTTTTATTCTTCCTTATCATTCATATACAACTTTCTGTCAATGTGTACCTGCTAGCATCATTCTTTTCAGTAGGGGCTCCCATTAGGCAGCCGTGAGCACTGGAGTCAGGAAGCCTGGGTCCCTGTTCTCTCCTTGGCCTAGAAACTTTGAGTAAGGACTGCACTCAGGGCTTCAAAACCTCATCTGCAAAGTGACTAGGACATCTCCAGGATCCTTTTATCTCTGTCTTTCCATGGATCTTTCTTTTCATTTATAAACTAGATGTACCAGTACAAGTTAGTGAGAGTTTAAATGTGGAAGATCCCAATTTTCCCTGAAGTTAGATATCATACAGCTAGATGAAGACATTGAAACTTGAGGATTTATTAAAATCAATTAAAGCAATGCTTAAGATGTAGTTTGAGGGGGCTGCCATTGTAGCTTAGTGGTAAAGGGCTTGCCAAGCATATTTGAGGCACTGGGTTTAATCCTTGGCACCACATAAAAATGAATAAATAAAATAAAGGCAACAAAAAAAGTTGTATCTGTTTTAAAAATTATGTACTTTGGAACCATGTCTTCCTGGTGCTTGTTTATATACTTGTATTAAGGTAACTCAGCCATCTTCTTGTTTTTCTAATTTCTATGTTTCATTTATATATTTTTTTTCTTCTAGACAGCTGAATAAAGCAGTTCCCCACCCCCTGTTCTTTCCTTTTTCCCGTCACATATTTACAAAGAAGACAGTATAGTAACATTCTTTGAAGAATTTAAAAGTCTAATGTATTAGACACAAATAGAGATGTCTTAATGATCTGTGAATGAACAGCACACATTATTGTGGGCTGTGAACCTGCCTAGCCTTTCTACAAATTCCCATCAGTCAGGAACATGGTGCCCTACCTTCCTCGCTCCTTCTCTTCCTTATAAGAACCTCACAGAGTTGGCTCTTGGAAAAACTTAACATGAGTCAGTGGCCAGAACCACATTTCCTGCCATCCTCTGTGTTGACTTCCTGGTTGAGGTCATATGAACAAACTATAAACCATATCTATTCACGGGCCCAGGATATCATTAAGGACATATCTGAGCCTTCAGGAGGACCTCAAGTTGTAGAGAGGGCAAGCCAGCCTTGCCTGTCCTCCTGTTTTGATACGGAGTTCCTGTCTTATTTGGGGCTTGGGTGTCAGGATGCGGAGAGGATACTATGCTTGGTGTAATTAGGAAGGATGAGCACTGTAGGGGACTCTGGATGATGTGACAGTCCTTCTTCCCTACCCTCAACCCCAGTACTACTTTGGAAATTTTCTTGTACTGTCTCCTCTTGGTATTTTCTTGCATGCACTTCAGGAGAGCTGAGGATGAATGGTAGGTTTTCCTTAGAAAATGGACTCTAGGAGAGCTATGCTAGGAAGCTGTATTCTAGACATGGATCCTAATTTATAAGATTAAATAGAAATAAGATTATACATTTTTTAAGTTAGCAAGTAAAAATAAGTGACCTAGTAATATTGAAAAAAATTACTGGTTAACACTGTGCTTTGTGAACCTAAATTGCTTAATTTTCCATGTGCTTCTGGAAGAGTGGAGGTCTATATAAAACACACAAAATTTTGGTTATTGTTCAGAATGAAGAATTAAGCTCTATAGATCAAAATAACATTTCTATTGATTTTTTAAAAATGATATTATTGCAGAATACTTAAGCTGCTTTGGTCTTCAGTGAATCCTGAGGAGTGAAGAGATGATGCTTAGCATATTGTATACATTTTTTTTTCTCTTTATGCTTTAGACAATAGAGCCCAGATGTGGAAGCTTAAAATACAGGCATTTTTTGATGTCATCAGCCCAACTCCAGTTGGTGGTCAAGTGATCATAGCCATCCCTGAATTAAAAATACAGAAGACAAACAACATTAAACTTCAACCTGGAAAAAGGACTGTTGAGCTGTCTGTGAAAATTAACAAGGTGAATGATGGTGCTTCCTGCGAAGCCCTGGTTGAAAGTGAAAGCTGTTCAAAAGAAATGGTTAGAAAGAAGGGTCCAAGTATGAAAAAAAATTCTATTTCCTTCATTTGTTTTCTTTTTTCTTCCCATTTTATCCTCTATTTTAAAACTTTTTTTTATTATATTTTGTGAGAGTGTGAACCAAGGAATATATATTTTTTTAATTTTAAGATTAAGAAAATGGAAAATATGTGATGAATTTGGCAATCTTTCCTCTCAAGTCAGTTACATTTGGATTTTTTCCTGTAGTATTTGCAGTATCTTAAATCCAAAATACTTTCTACATTTTTAAGTGCAGTGAGTATTTTTGTTACTTGTCAATAATTTTGAATGCTGATGCGTATTCTGTACGTAGAATTCTAATTCTAAACTCATGATCTTTCATTGGCAGGAGTGGGATGGATTTTACCCCTCCTCCACTTTCTATTTCTCTGATTGATAAATATGAACTAGAAAAGATGGAGCAAAATCACATTCCGTAACTATTTAGATAAAGTCAGAACTCCACATAATTTCTAGTTCTTGTCTTGAAAGAACAGTTAACTTCAAAGTCTAAGTGTTAAGAATGTAGGATAAGTGTCAGCTGGAGAGTTAGAGGTAGGAGGGTTTGTTTTTCTGAACATCCATGTTTTTCTGTTCTTTCCCTTCCCTTTTGGTGTGTTAATCTGTGCTAATCTTCTAGCACATTGATTTTTTAAAAAATATTTTTTTCAGTTATAGTTGGGCACAATACCTTTATTTTATTTGTTTATTTTTATGTGGTGCTGAGGATCGAACCCAGCACCTTGCACGTGCTAGGCGAGTGCTCTACCACTGAGCCACAATACCAACCCTCACATTGATTTTAAAAATATTATCAATAGGTTGGTATGATTTGGCATAATATAGATAGGGAGACTTGTATTGCATAGAACCTAGAGTTCCTATACTTGACTATATGAGAAACTGACATAATGTTCTTGGTCATGTTATTTTTCTGAAAATATGCTACATTTCTTAGAGTTACTTACTATATTTCTTAAAAGAATATTCCTGTGGAAACTTGGTGGCCTCATGGACATGGAAACCAGACTGGGTACAACATGACAATTCTTTTTAAACTGGATAAAGATTTAAATATTGAAAGATCAGCTAAGGTAAGTAAATATTTTTAAAATATTCTGTGAAAAATGACATTTCTTATCGAAATAGCAGTATAGATCTTTGAAGGTAAAGAAAAAACCAGCAAAACTTACAACTCTTCCAGAGTAGCAGCATTCCAAAGCATCTGTGTATATGTATTTAAGTTTATATTTTAAATGGATCAGACTTTACATATCATTTTGGCAATAAATAGTCTCCTTTGGTGCTTTTATATATTTCTCTCTCCCCACTCTCCCCCCTGGTGCTGAGGATTGAACTCAGATCTTCACATGTACTAGGCAAATGATTTACCACTGAGCTATACTCCGGTTCCTCTCCTGCTGTGCTTTTAAATTGTGCTTTTTATTCAAGTAATACATATGTATAATTTTAAAGCTCAAGTATTACTAGAGGATTCATATAAAAATGGGATTCTTTGCCCAACTCTTCCTGTTCCTATTTCCTAATCCCCAGAGCCAAAATTTTTAATTTCTATTTATTTCTTTTGCCATTTCTTTTCATTTTCCCAAATAACATGTTTTAACTGGAGTTTTCTAATTTTTCAGTCTTGCCCAGTTCAGGATACAGTGCTAAGAATTGGAAAGAGCTGTACTTTATTATTTTTTAGATCTTGGACACTTCAAGTACCATTTCCTTATATGTAAAATATGCATGGTAAAAATGGGGTAACTTGGATCTGGCTTTATAACAGTCACAGTGTATAGCAAGTGGTAACAGTATTAATCCTGCTCATAGATTTCCTCTTTCGTGCAACATCAACCTTTGGTATTTACAGTTGGCAGTGGTTGCCCTCTGGTGTCACCTCTCACATTTGGTGTTACTTTTCCTGCCAGATACCATCCACAATTTGGAATATGTCCTTCAGGAGCTCATTTTCTATTTTTATTTTGTTAAGTCATACAGTAATCTTAACAGTATGAAGTATGTGTTTTTGTGTGTGCATGCCTGCAGAGAATAACTGAGAAGAACGTACTTGACCATTCATTCTTACTCTCACCTTCTTGGCTGAGGACACATGTTCTCTCACACAATGATTAATTGTGTGTCATCTTCATGAAAATGTAAAACACATTGAGTCATTCCAACTTGCTACAGAGAAAGAAGAGGGACTTCTGCCTTCTTGTATTTGTGGTAAACAAGTGTATTTCATTCAGGCTAATAAAGTTGCATAGTTGTTCATTACATATGAAGATGTCAACCTTTGAATTACACGGCAGCAGGAGTGAAAAGGGTATGTTGCCACATACCCTGAATTCATCCATATGTGTGCAATGTGCCTTTTTACTGTGGCTTCTGTAGAGTTCTTTATTTCTGAGGCTCATTCATTCAGTCAATACTTAGGGCACCTATTGTGTTTGGGCTACTATGCTAGGTATTGGTGATACAGCTGGGTATAAGACATTTCTCTTTGAGACTCTGATAAAGCTGGTTATAATAAAGGGGGATGAACACTTTAGAGAACTAGAGTACTGTGGAAGCACAGAGCAGGGCATTCTGGGAAGACCTCTGGAGGTGACAAAATCTATGTCCTGAGGGATGAGTAGAATTTGCAATGTAGAAGAGAAGCAGAGAGACTTGAAGGGAGAGTGTGTGTTTGTAGTAGTGAAAGAAATTCCAGTGCTGCTGTGTTTAAGCTTGAAGTTTAAGGACAACAGATGATGTCATTAAGGCAGGCTAAGGCAAGACCATGCACAGCCTAGTTAGCTGTGTAATGGAATTGGTGCTTCCCCAGGGCAGCAGGGATTCTTGGAAGGGGTTGGGTAATGATCATACTTGTGTTTCACAAAGATTGTGTACCTTAGATTGGAAGAATAGCAAGAACAGAGGTCAGTTAAATGACTATAGTGATAAATCAGGAACAAGGTTATAGTTTCTTGCTCTACAGAATTGATAAGGGAATAAAATTGGAAGAGAATTTCACAGGTAACTTCATTAACTTTGATGATGTGGGTGAGAGAAAAGATGTTTAGAATGGCTGTTACAATTGAGTGTTTTGGACCTCTTATTGGATGAAAGATAATTATGTTCTTTAAGTTAAATTTCTCAGGAAGAAAAGCAGTTTTGGGTGATGGGACAGGGTGGAGATCCCTAAGGAATAATATTTGATGGGTGTTTCATTATACAGGTCTGGAGCTTAAGAATTAGATCTGAATTAAGGATATAGAATATACAGACCTGCTTTAAAATTTTTTCCTTTGTCATTAGGGCCTAGGACAAGGTAGGCAAGCACTCTACCACTGAACTGCACTCCCACCACAGCAGAATAGAGATAATTGTACCCTTTTGAAAGGGATGAACTACCTAAGGGACTGTATAGAGAGGACAGAATCCCAGGGGATCAAAATAAGTAAAGAAGGGAGGAGGCAAAAGCCTATAGTGGATTCTAAGAAGGAATGGTCAAAGAGGTCACTCATTTGAGTAGGGAGTTATAGAAGACAGAGGGAGAGAATATTTTAAGAGGCAGGAAATATTAAAGAATGTCAGATGCTGTAAGAGAGTTCAAATTAGAAAAGATTGAGAAAGATCGTTTAGGTTTGGCAGCAAGGAGATCACTAGTTGCCTTAACCAGAATGGAAATCAAAGAATGACTGAAGTGAGCACTATGGGGACAGTGATTACAAGCTACCGTTTTAAGAGGTTATACTGGGAACCACACCTGAGGGGTATTGTAATGGTAGCCAGTTAGGGTTCAGGAAATTGGTTTTATACCGGTGACTGAGCAATAAGGAAACTTACCGAAGTAACAGGATATGTTTTCACAGATGGAGAAAGGTGATGTACATATAGAATGCATTAGAATTGGAACTAATAGTGTGAATTCATGCCTTCCATGTGTGTGGATAAAGAAATAAATGTAGATGTAAATGCATGTGTGTGAATGGATGTCATTTCTGTTCTTTGAGTTAAATTCCTCAGAAAGACCAGGTTTGCTCTACACATACACATTCATCCCAGCCCTTTCCCCGAGGTCCTGGGAATAGTGGCATTCTTTCTAGAAACAAAGAGCAGTGTTTGTTCCCATATCTTGATTTCTGAATACCACTTTCTTCTAAAAGGAATCAGGGACCTTTGGAAGAAATGTCTGATTCTGGGGCTGGAGTCTGAAATCTTGTGGTGTGCCAGAAAGTAAGGAGGTACTCAGGGAATGTGACACAACAAAAGGAAATTGGGGTCTTACTGGCCAAATCTGGGAGAATTTGAGCATTAAAATGAATAATGATAGTAAAAGATTTTAACCCATTAATCATAGTGAAAATCCTTGAGTACGTATTTTTGTAAAGAAATAAGTGAGTCAAATGGGAGGGAAAGAAAGGAAAATCATTTCATAAGAGTGTCAATTAATAAATGCAGAAGGAATGGTAGAACTAGGCATTTAACAACAACATAGCATAAGTAATTCATGCAAGAAATATAAACAGATGCCAAAATTTGACTGTAAAAGTGGTATGAAATATGATATATTGATGTAGACTCAAAGCATCGCTCAACAAATTATAATGGAGAAAAAATACATTGAGTCATTTAATAGCTACTATCTGGATTAATTAAGGTTATTTTCACCAATGAAACAAAGTGACATTGTGTCCACCCAATAAACTACCACATGAAGGACACAGCATTACTTCTGCTTGTACCTCCAAAAGCAGAGAGCCTGAATTTAGTTACAGGGAAACATCAAGACATTCCTATTTGCTAAAATTCTTAAATCTATTTCTCATCAATTTACAGTAATATCAAGGAAAGACTGAGGACCATTTCATGTGGGAATGAACTATAGAGGCATAACTAGTAGTTGTGGTGTGTGATGTCTTTGTTATAATTTATGTTATTGGGACAACTGGTGAACTTGAATGGGATCTCCTGGTGAGGGGTATGCAGGAGTTCTTTGTACTATCGTAGCAACTTGTCTGAGTCTAAAGTTGTTATAACATTAAAAAGGACACCATTAAAGGGATGAAAATCAACAAGTGTAAAATCCTGAAGGGAAGGGACCAGCCAAGAGGGAAAGACTGAAAATAGTTGAAGAATAGGGAGAGAATAGAGAGAGTCTTTGATCAGGCAAGAGAGGACAGCATCTACCATACTCATGGATGGGTTCACTTTGGGATGACGGGCTCTGTGTTTTGGTTATAATAGAGGTTTAGTAGAATAGCATATATAGAGGAAAGGATACAACTAGAGGATGGAGGAAATTTTGAAGGTGTCTGGGAACACTCAAGTCTATTTCCTATGTGTGGGACTTGTAAACTGTTCTTTCTGCAGAGTTATAAGAGGAAAAAGTGAACCTGAGAAAAAATGTTTAGGGAATTCTGGTCAAATAACTTTTTTTTTTTTCTCCTGGGAACTAGGTTGTAATGCTATCTGTTGAGCTTAATTGGGGCAAGTTGGAAATTTGAGGAAAATAAAGGTTTAAGATGGCATTATCGAAAAAGGTCAGAAATGCTGAGGCAACTTGGTAGCACTGTTAGGCAGCATTGAAGGCCCATTTGAGGTTGAAGACTGTGAATCTCTGAGAATCAGAATACCTTTACTCTGAAAGGTTATTGATTTCAGATTGCAACACATTAGGCTGGCTGTTAAGTGGTGTTTTGCAAGGCATTTTAAGTATGTGGCCTGGTTTGAAAGTGTTTCCCTGGCCTTCTGCCCACCCTGCTTGTGCACTTGCTATTTAAATCCCTCACATTTGAGCAATTCTTTAAAGTTTGAGGTGAAGCTTGATTCAAAAAGTAAGACTATACAGTATGTCTCTACCTTATTTGCTTCTGGATTTGTGGGTATAGATGTTATGGTTTCTAAAATTACCTTCTTATTTCTAAAATGGAATAAAAGCAACAATTCTATATTATGTAGGAGTCTTTTTTTTTTTTTTTTTTGAAATTCATATAACCAAAGGTCACCTTGGGACCAGAAAAGTGGTTGTGTAGTTTATGTAATTTATGATTTAAATTGTTCACCTTTAGGCTTTTCAGATTTTTACAATACAGACTCATCA